AATGCCGTTGATGAGCGAGCCGAAGAGGCCCATCATGCCCAGGAACTCCACGCTGTCGTAGGTCTTGACCACGTACTCCTGGGCCACGTTGCTGATGCCGTACAGCGTGGCTCCGCCCAGGCACAGCATGTCGCCCAGCAGTCGCTCAGCACCTGAGGAAATGCAGGAGCGCCGTCGTTAACCACCTGCCAGAATCTACCATTCACTATCACCCAACACTCACCGGTCAGTAGTAATATAAAGGATTTGACCATTATCAAAGCACCGTTTACTTACTCTACCATTCATCATCCATCATTTCGCCCTCTGCCATGCCTTCACTGTGCGATGACGGGCCGCCGCACAGCACCCCTTCACCACCCAATCCTCACCATCACCCCTAGTCAGCATCCTCACCATCAGCCCCACACGACCACCACGTTCGATCAGTCAAAGGAATAACTAAACTAATATCACGAACACCATCCTCACCCCCCTCCCCCACTCCCCTGGGATACTTACCTTCTCAAACTCGAGACTTATAACCAAGCAAGGAACACCATACACCCCACAGTTTACAAAATCATCCCTCACTCACCATCCTCCCCCTCCCCCTCCCACTCATCATCCCCCCTCCCCCCACTCACCAGGGATGGCCGCCTTGCCGTCCTCCACGTTGGCCCACACGAGGCAGCCGACCCCCAGAAGGCAGAGGCCGACCCCGAGCACATGGACCAGCTTGTAGCGGACCTTGAGGAAGAGCCAGCTGAGGGCGAGCACCACGGGCACCACGAAGCAGTCCAGTAACTGAGGGAGGAAAGACACTGAATAATAAAGGGTGGGAGAGAGAAATGGAGAGATGGAAAGAGATGGAAATGTCATGACTAAGGAAGAGGGAGAGGGAGAGGGAGAGGGAGAGGGAGAGAGAGAGAGAAAGAGAGAGAGAGAGAGAGAGAGAGAGAGAGAGAGAAAGGGAGAGAGAGAGAGAGAGAGAGAGAGAGAGAGAGAGAGAGAGAGAGAGAGAGAGAGAGAGAGAGAGAGAGAGAGAGAGAGAGAGAGAGAAAGAGAGAGAGAAAGAGAAAGAGAAAGAGAGAGAGAGAGAGAGAGAGAGAAAGGGGGAGAGGGAGAGAGAGAGAGAGAGAGAGAGAGAGAGAGAGAGAGAGAGAGAGAGAGAGAGAGAGAGAGAGAGAGAGAGAGAGAGAGAGAGAGATAAAATAGAAATGTCATGAAGCAGTCGAGTAACTGGGGAAGAGAGATAGAAAGATAAAGGTAGAGAGAAATGATGGCTGAATGATATATTAATGCTATGGATTCTGTCCTTGAACTAAAATCAAAAGGTTAAAACGTCTTGCTTTATTTTCTGTGTCCATTTTCAACAAGTGATTGGGAAGACACGTATAAATTATTATGAATTAGTGCAGATTAGTTTTCAATACTTTCCGATTATGCAAAAGAGCTTGAACTGTCAGTAAACTTGAAGAACTGTCAGTAAAGTTAGTTAACAATAAAATAAATTGTGTTAAATTAAGAATATTAATAACATATGAAGCATTCAAAGATAATTAAATCTTTAAATAATACAAATTAAAATATGCATAAAGGAAAATAAAGCCAAATAAAGGGAAAAAAACGTAAAAGGAAAATAACAACTACACACACACACACACACACACACACACACACACACACACACACACACACACACACACACACACACACACACACACACACACACACGCACACACACACACACACACACACACGCACACACACATACACACACACACACACATACATACATACTTATTTATCTATTTAGTCATCCATTCATCAAAACACATCTTACCTGTGCATACGTACCGCTGTGGGCAGGCATGCCTCAAGGACGAGAAAACTAACAATGAGAATAAATAAGTCAAAATAAAATAAAATATGAGATACAAATACCAGCAAAACAAGACAGTAGAGTGGATAATAAAATGTATAAAAATAAATGTATATCATAATGGCTGCCAAGAGGAGGAAGACAGAGAGAAATGAGTGGACAGAGGAACGACGACTTCAAGACGGCTCCATGCCAGGATAGAAGACGGAAAGGGAGAAAACAAGCAGAAAATAAGTTATAAATATAATTGTGAAAATAAAAATAGAAAAAATCACGAGAGATCGAGACATAATAATTTCATACTAAAAAGAAGAAACGAGGACATAAAATTGAAAAAACAACAACAACAAAAGAATCAAACAGAAATAACACCCCTTACTCCCTCCCTCCCTCCCTCCCTTTCCCTTTCCCCTTCCCTCCCCCTCCCCTCCCTCCCCCTCACCTGCACAGACGTGACGGACGTGAACTGGTAGGCCTTGAGCACCAGGTAGTTAGCTTCGACGTCGACGGCGGCGAGGACGAAGTACTTGAGGCCCTTGGTGCGCACCACCCGCAGGAGGGACCCCTCGCCCGAACGGCACGCCAGCCACGTCGTGTAGACCAGGCACAGCAGCACGTAGTTGATGAAGCTCACGG